CATACAGTGTGTTTGGGTTGTTAGGGTACGAGGCTGGCCACCTTCTGAGAGGACAAAGGACACTCGAGACAAAGGAAGTCACAAGGCAAGGTTTATTTCTAGCCAGCTAGGGTCCAAGCATCTGCCTGATGCAGCAAGTTTCAACAAGGACCCTGAGAGCAAAGTTTAAGCAGGTCTTATACTCTTTAAAGCATCAATCATCGTCACATAGGAATTCTTCATGCCCCTGGGGTCACATTTTCCTGATCTTGCCCACATCCTGGTGGTGGGTAATATTATTTATTGGGATCTGGGGAAACACCAGAGATTTACTTATCAGGTTACAAGGAATGCGTTCTCCCACAAATTAGGGGCTAGTAGTGGAATAGAAACCTAAGGTTTAGATAAGAACAGCAGGGGAGTCCTGCTTTGGAAAGTTTATTTACAAGTGGAGACAAAGAAAGGCAGGAATGGGTGCTTATCTCTGCATGGTGCCTTTCATCTAGGTCCCAAACTTTTGCATGGCTCTAATGAGCAATTCTTCACAGCTCTGTCCGAGGTTACAGCTTTTAATTGACAGTTTACCATGTTTTACAACCCTGTTTTAAGGCTACCTTCCTCTTCACGAGGTTACCCAAGGGTCATGCCAGTTATAGCTGATTTCTAGGCTAGATGGGCTGCAAGTTAAAGTACCCCAATAGGGTCATTTCTCTCCCCTTCCCCCTGTCCCCACCCTGCCCCCATGATCCTTCCCTTATTCCCCCTTACTCCTCACTACCAGGCAGAAACTATTCTGCCCTTATCTCTAATTTTCTTGAAGAGAGAGTATAAGCAATAATAAGAAGGACCAAGGGTTTTTGCTAGTTGAGATAAGGATAGCTATACAGGGAGTTGACTCACATTGCTTTCCTGTACACGTGTTTTACCTTCTTTTCTTCTCTTCTTTTTTCTTTTGGTGGGACTGAGGTTTTGAACTTAGGGCTTCATACTTACAAAGCAGGCATCTTACCACTTGAGTCAGACCTTCAGTACAATATGCTCTTGCTATTTTGGAGATGATGACTTGTGAAGTATTTTCCCAGGCTGGTCTTGAACTGAGGTCTTCCTGAACTTAGCATCTCAAGTAGCTAGGATTACAGGCGTGAGTCACTGGCACCTGGTTATTTTTCATTTCTCTCATATTTAACAGTAAGTGTTTTTAATAATTTGACAAAAAATTTAAAGGTCACAGAATAGTTGGGATCTTTTCCCAATGATTATTCAAATAGCTTTGATGGTTCTAGCAAGCAGGTCATTTTTTTAATGGTCCTGCTGTCTTGTGCACAGTGAAGACTGTGTGTAGACTTTTTTTTTTGATCAGTTGAATGTACAAAGTTACAGTTTTCTCCTTTTGGTGGATTGGGAAAGTGACAATAGCCAAAGAAATGTTGGTGTTCTTTTTAAAGGAACAGACCAGAGTGTCACAAGGATCACTTTCAGAGCTCACAATCTGGGAGCTGGGGAATTCAGTACAAGGACTAACTCCACGACTCAATTGCTATTTGTGGCAATCATCTTCTCCCAAGTGCCACAACTTAGCCCTATACAGAGTGATGTGATCATAGTCCCTATTGTGGTTCATCATGCGGGCATGGTGTTCTGAGCAGATCTATAGAGAAGGAACAGAATCAGTAAGAACCCTGGGAGGAAGGGTGAAGACCTGGGTTTTAATCAGGCCTGTTCTCTTGATATATGGCAACAGCTTCTCCTCCTTGCTAAACCCTGCTTGTGACATGGAGATGTCCACATCTACATGACACACATGCACAGGAAATTAATGTGAGTCAACTCCCTGTATAGCTATCCTTATCTCAACTAGCAAAAACCCTTGTTCCTTCCTGTTATTGCTTATACTCTCTCTTCAACAAAATTAGAGATAAGGGCAAAATAGTTTCTGCCGGGTATTGAGGGGGTGGGGGAGAGAAGGAGGGGGCAGAGTGGGTGGTAAGGGAGGGGATGGGGGCACGGGGGAGAAATGACCCAAGCATTGTATGCACACATGAATACTAAAAAAATGAAAATTAAAAAAAAGAAAAGTATGAGACTGAAGGAGAATCACCTATGCAAAGATGAAGTACTTCCCTTCCCACTGCCTAAACTGGAGGCCTTCCCTGAGGATGCCCACTGGAAAGTAAGCTTCTAGGGACCATCCATCCATCTTAATGTATTCTAATGTAAAGAATACATTAACACCATGATCTGATTTCAGTATCTGAAAGAAGAGTGAGTAAACCATTGCCTTTTACTGTTTCCAAAACAGGAAGTAGGCCAGAGTCTCACACACCACTTTCTCTCAGCATTCTCTTAGGAGATGTTCACAAAAAAGTTAATGGTGAAGATAACTACAAATTATTTAGCTCTTACCAAAGTTTGATTCTTCAAAGTTACCATAATTCTTGGATTGAAGAAAAAAATCTATACTTAGGCCCCAAGCCTGAAGAGGAAAACTCTAGGAGGAGACAGCAATAACAGACAGTCTCAAGGTTCAAGCACTATGGTTTCCTTAACTCTGTACAGTATGTAAAACAAATCAGTCCATACAGTCCAAATAGCTCTCTCTAGGAGAAGGAAATACATACACAGCAAGGTGTAGAGAAAGTGGATAAGGACCAACTTCATGTTTCTCTATGCCAGACAGACATGTTTTTCTGCATAAGTCCATCCAAGTGGAGGTGGGAAGATAGAACTCATGAAGACAAAGCAAGAGAATACACTCGTGAGACAGTTCTATAGAGGAGATATGCTTAGGCATGATGCTACCTTGTAAATACAAAAAAAATTTAAAGTTTTCCTGCCCAATCCAAACAAGAGGAGCCATAAGATTCTTTTCTAAGCCTTCCACAAAAATGGGTTAAAACAAAAACTTAGAAGAAAAGGGAGAAGTTGAGAAGGCTTCAGAAAGAAGCCAGAGCACTAAGGGAGATGAACTGAAACTGGTCAATGTGAAACCTAGAGTGGCAAGCAGCACCTGGAGTTATGAGCTGCACCAGGTAGGCAGTGGAGCAGTGGATAGGAACATGTTTCAGTTCATGTTTCATCATGCCTAAGCATATCTCCTCTATAGAACTGTCTCACAAGTGTATTCTCCTGCTTTGTCTTCATGAGTTCTATCTTCCCACCTCTACTTGGATGGACTTATGCAGAAAAACATGTCTGTCTGGCATAGAGAAACATGAAGTTGGTCCTTATCCACTTTCTCTACACCTTGCTGTGTATGTATTTCCTTCTCCTAGAGAGAGCTATTTGGACTGTATGGACTGATTTGTTTTACATACTGTACAGAGTTAAGGAAACCATAGTGCTTGAACCTTGAGACTGTCTGTTATTGCTGTCTCCTCCTAGAGTTTTCCTCTTCAGGCTTGGGGCCTAAGTATAGATTTTTTTCTTCAATCCAAGAATTATGGTAACTTTGAAGAATCAAACTTTGGTAAGAGCTAAATAATTTGTAGTTATCTTCACCATTAACTTTTTTGTGAACATCTCCTAAGAGAATGCTGAGAGAAAGTGGTGTGTGAGACTCTGGCCTACTTCCTGTTTTGGAAACAGTAAAAGGCAATGGTTTACTCACTCTTCTTTCAGATACGGAAATCAGATCATGGTGTCATGAGTCTGGGCCCTTTACTGGGGCACAGAATGAGGTATGAAACATTTCAAATAAAGCAGCACCGTTCCACTCATTTCAGGACTCCCACCCACCCACCCTTTAGGGAGTAAAACACAAGGTAGTTTTGATATGTCATTCTCACTTTTAATCCTTTCCTATTCTGTACCAAAAAGCCAGGGAATTTGGAGGTCTTTTCCTGACTTCCAACAACCAAAAGACAGCTCTAGCTGTCAAGAAGTCCAAAGGGTACCAAGTGGAAAGATTACCCCTTGTGAGAGGCAGAGAAAATTTAAATATTCACCATAGCAGAGCTCTGACAGCTCCTAGCACTAAACCATTCACATTACTGAGGGCAGCTAGAAGAGGTCTCCTTTGGGCCCATGCTCTTCTACAGTTTAGTAGCACCATTGCAGTAGGAGGCAGGTAGCAACCTGGCATAATACCCAAGTCAATCCATGCACTTGTCTATGTCACCAGTAACTAGAGTGGTAAAGGACTGTCCCACCAAACAAGTCCACACCACAATATATATGAATCTTCCATAGTAGACAGTGTATACTTGCAGAGATCTCTACTACCTCCCCATGGGATGACAATTCAATTCTCCACCTGTCTGGACAAGCAACTTGTCTTTTGCCAAGCCTAAGCTACTGAGTAGAAGGGAATGAAAAAGGGTTCTGCTCAGCCAAAGGCTAAGCCTGGCCCCAGGTGTGCTGAAATCATAGCAAATGTTGGAAAACAGGTGGTTTTGAATTTTTTCTTCTCCTTGCAGTCAAGACTGCAGAGCTTCCCTACCAAATTGGAGTGGGAAATCTTTTCCTTGGTTGTCCCAAATTTACACTGTTAAGTCTCCAGACCTCATATCTTTCATTTGTATCAGAGAAGCGCAAATCAGAGGCATAGAAATCAGAGGAGCGGTCCCACTGAAACTCATTGATAATGGCCTGAACATCACCAGTGTCCAAACTGTCCAAGAAGTTCCTAGAAGTCGTAGGATTTTATATGTCGGGCCCACACATGCTCACCTGTGCACTGAGAGGGCAATACAGGAATCTTGTGTACAACCAGCTGTGTTTAGAGATCAACACACATTGCATGCTGCTGGAGCCATGCACCTCTTTATGTCCAGGGTTTCAGGTTTTTAAGGTACACTTAAAAATGAATCCGAATTCCAAAATTCTCCACTTTGGGATTTTGAATTGCTAGGATCTTCAAGGTGGGGGAGTGTAGTTGGGACCTTTGCCTGATTTACTTTTTCCGCCCCCTACTTTGCTTACTCCTCCAGGCCATGGGAGCAGTCTATATGATTGTCCTGATCACTCTGACTCTGCCATGCTGCAGTTACTGGAATTCTGGAGGGGAGCCTTGCAGCCACTGATCAGGCCCATTCATTCCTCGCTTCTCCAGGAAGTGAGCAGAAAGGGAAGCGGCGGTATCCCCCTTTGTCTTCCACTGGCTGAATGCCCAAATCCTTCACATTACCAGCCTCTGCGAACTCCAGGTAGAAGTGGCCACATTTGACTACCCGGTGTACCTCAAAGCAGAATCCCAAACAAGAATACTCTATCAGGTCTATGTATATCTCTTGAGCGATGGCCTCTAGCTTGTTAGTATCCAGGTTGGCCAACGAAATCTCCTCCATCTTAACTTGCAAATGCTTGTGGAGGGCTCGCTTTACTCCGGGCAGCAACACGTCTGGCTAGGCGGGCCGTGCTTAGGCCTGGACGCTTCTCAGGGCCATGTCCTTCGGAGGCGGCGGGCAGGGACGATGCAATCTGTGGTGACAGAAGCAGCAGCAGTGGCCACTGCTCCGGTACCCCACGTCTTTCGGTTTGTAGCGTCCACCGATTATGGGCTTTGGGCGGCTTCTAAAGGCCTACTCACCGCCAAACGTTCTTGGGGTCTGCATGAGGCTCTCTGAATGTTTTCACCAGAGCACAAACTTCCAGAAAGGTACAGTATATCCGAGAAACCCAGAATCAGCTCTTGTCTTTGGGTTTTCGATTAAATCTATGGCATCCAATTCTGGTTTTTTAATCTTTATAAAAATTCCTTTTACCTCTTCCACAATATTTAACTCTCCTCTTCTACATAAAGCATTTTTGTTTATGACTTTTGCTTCTTAGGTCTCTCATAATTTTTTTTTTTTTACAAAGGAATGGTTTTCTTTACTACAGTTTTGTAAATGTATACAATGTATTTTGATCATATTCACTCCTCCAGAACCATTTCTTGTCCCCCATTCTGCTGCTCCCCCAAATAGCCCCCTTTTATGTTCATGTCTTTTTTGTTTTTATTCTAGATTCCACATGAGAAAAACATGCAATATTTGTCTGACTTATTCACTTAAAACTATGACCTCTAGTTCCATTCATTTTCTTCCAAATAACCTAATTTCATCCTTCTTTATGGTTGGAAATATTCCATTGTGTATGTATACCAGATTTTCTTTATGCATTCATCCACTCTTGGGCACTTGGTCTGATTCCATAACTTGGCTAATGTGAATGGAGCAACAGTAAACATAGGCAGCAGTAAACACAGGTATGCAGATGTCTTTATTGTATGTTGACTATGACTCCTTTGGATACATGTTCAGAAGTGATATAGCTGGATCATATGTTAGGTCTATTTTTAGTTTTGACGGACCTCTAGTCTACATTCTTATAAACAGTGAATAAAGGCTTCCCCTCCCCCTCCCCTTGCATCCTTGGCAGCATTCGTTGTTGATTGTTTCCTTGATGATGGCTCTTTCCACTGGGATGAGATGAAATCTCAGTGTAGTCTTGATTTGCATTTCCTTTATGGCAAAGGATGTTGAACATTTTCAAGCATTTATTGTCCATTTGTATTTCTACTTCTGAGAATTCTATGTTAAATTCACTTGCCTATTTATTGATTGGATTATTTTGTCTTTTGGTGTTTAACTTTTTGTGTTCTTTAAACATTCTAGTTATTAATCCCTTTTCAGGTAAATAGCTGATGAAGATTTTTCCCATTCTATAGACTGTCTCTCACTCTGTTAACTATTTTCTTTGTTGTGCAGAGAATTTTTAATTTGATGCAATTCCGTTTGTCAGTTCTTCCTTCCTATTATTTCTTGAAGTGTTAGAGTCCTATTCAAAAAGTCACTGACTATGCCTATATCCTAAGTGGATCAAAGACTTTAATGTAAGACCTGAAACTTTAAAACTACTGTAGGAAAACATAAGCTTTCTCTAATAGTTTTATTTTCTTCTTCAGCTTTTTGTTTTATTTATTACTTGTATCTATAGATTTGTTAGCAGATTAAAAAATTCCAATGAGGGGACAAACACAACAAGGGGATTGGACTTTGATCACATGATAAAGTGAGAGCACACAGGGAGGTATGGGGATAGGTAAGACACCTAAAAAACTAGATAGTATTTGTTGTCCTCAACTCAGAGAAACTAAAGCAGATACTTTAAAGCAACTGAAGCCAATAAGAGAAGGGGACCAGGAACTAGAGAAAAGGTTAGATCAAGAAGAATTAACCTAGAAGGTAACAGACATGCACAGGAAATCAATGCGAGTGAACTCCCTGTATAGCTGTCCTTATCTCAACTAGCCAAAAACCCTTGGTCCTTCCTATTATTGCTTATATTCTCTCTTCAACAAAATTAGAGATAAGGGCAAAATAGTTTCTTCAGGTAGCAAGGGGGTGGGGGAAGAGGGAGGGGGCAGGAGGTAGGATAGGGGGTGAGGGAAGGGGGGAGAAATGACCCAAACATTGTATGCACATATGAATAAAAAAAATTCCAATGAGGTACTTTTATTTTCACTTTACAGATTTTTATGAGTCAACAGTGAATTATAATAAAAATATGATTTGTATATAATTTTCAAAGTTAAGTGCATAATAAAGGTTTCTCCTCTCTGCACACTTATGTTGTGGGACAGACACAATAGCAAGTTAGAAATACTCAGACTATCATTCCTGGGCATGACACAGCAAGGCTATGTCCCATGAAGTACATAATTTTGAAAGTCAGTTAAGGACTCAACATCAACAACAAATAATATGCAAAGGACAATTTTAAGAAACTTTTCCCTATTCTACCCTTAAAGTGGAGATTTTCCAATAAAGTCAAACTTATAAAAAAAGCAAATGGCAATGTTTTCATGTCATTTGAAAAAGATGACTATAAAGTAAATGGAATTATCTAATTGAATCATTAGAAGTTCTGCCTATTCATGCATGAGCCATGCTCTCTTCCTTGCCTTACAATGAATCTAACATTCTTCCTACAGGTGCTTGGAGACCACTAAGTTTCTCATTCTCAGAGTGACACTCACTTCTTGGCCTCTCGGTTTCCCTAAAGATGCCTACCTGCATAGATGTCTGCCTTTTGGGCATTATTTACCAAACTCACTATAAGCAATGTAGGAAGGTGTTCTCAGGAGATAGAACTCAGAAGATGAGCTCCTTGAAATTACTTGTTAGCTTAATGAGTCCCATGACAATCGATCATATACTTCATTTTCAAAAAGGGTTGCTAGATTCCAAAGCTTGCCTCATTATTTCAGTCACTAATTCCTCTTTCCATTTTTCCTCATTATTAGGCCACTGTCCTGTGTGTGCTTTAATGATGCCCAGTGGGGAGTGGGAAACATGCTCCTCTGCCAAAATAAAACAGTAATGTCAGTATGTTCCTAAGAGTCCCATTAAATTATATTGTTGTGAAAATCCAAATGTACTATTTACTTGTTCAAAATTGTGTCCATTAGAAGGCACAGAGACCAAGGATATGGAAATGTGGTGATAATGAGGCAACTTAGTAGCTCAAGTTCTTCATGCACTAGCTGATGTTATTAGGCACTTTGAAGCACATCCAAGGAAAAGGTCCTCTTCAGATAAAAGTACCACAGTGCAGTCAATGTTAGGAAATATAATTCAGGTCAGTCTAAGAAAAACAAGGAAAAGTGGGAATTCAATTATGGTTAGGTAGCTCATAGAGTCACCTAAAATGATTGAGATAATTTTCATGAAGCTTGTCTTCAAGTTTTCAGTTCTAATTGTTAAAACCCATATACTAGATACATAAATCATATTTCCACATTTTCTTGCTTATTTTGTGTACTTTTTGAGGAAATCCAGAGATTTGTATTAGATTCCAATTATTCTGTAGTAATGCAGGTGTCATTTATAGGGATTATGTTCAGTGAGACTTCAGGTTGGTGGTTCCTGAGCTGTGCAGTCACTAGTGAGCAGGTGATTTACGTTGTCATCAACATAACATTCATACATGTGGTTAAGGGTTCTCAAAGAGTAAGCATCAAAGGGGGATACAAGTGTAAATTTATTATTTAACTTCTCTATTTCATTCTTTCCTTTTATATCTTTTGTATTCAATGCTTTTTCATAAGCCATTTTAATCCCTCTGAATTGATAACATGACTTGCTACTTGTATATGCAATCTCTTTCATCTGCTTTCTACTCTCTGCATTCCTCCACAGGGCTCTCATCCTTCTGATAAAACTTTGTCCTTCACTTCACCTTGTCACTTGCTTTGAGGAGTTGGGATTCCCTGGATGGAACATTTATCCTCAGTCAGTGTGTTTTGAGGTAGATAACACCAGTTGTTAAGACATAGGAAAATGCCCAGAAAGACAAATTACCATGTGATCTAAATTAAATGTGGAATCTAAAAAAGTTCAATGAATAGAAACAGAGAGAAGAATGGTGGTTAGCAGAGACTGGGGATGAGGCGTGGTGTTGTTGGGAAAGTCATTGGTAATATTCAATATGTTTCCAATGTCAAACATGTCTTGGAGAGCATTTGTTTAGCTAGAGATAATATGACAAGTTAAATATCACATAAACATTTTAAACTAATCTTCAAATTCTCACGAGTAATGTTTGGTTTGATAACTTTAGCTACAGTTTATGTCACATCAAAAAGCAGTTGTATTATTGATAACCAAATTTGTTTTTTGGCTAATTATGCAATGTTAACTATTTGATTAATAAAAGAATGAGAGATTTGGAAAGAAAATAAATAATGAATATTAATGTTAACTGAAAAACAGAGAGATAAAATAATCTACCATCATGGTGACAATTTTAAAATGATCTCTGGGACCTCCAGAGTAAAATTACAGAATAGAAGCTTCCTGCTGTGACTCTGTAAATAAGAAGAGTCAGGGTAATACATGACAGACTTTAGTCCAAAGAAAGAGGGGAAGGGCATTGAGAATCATGAAAGAGGCAACAGGACAGGTGAAAAGTCACAGAGACATGCAGGTCTACAGCACCAATTTTTGCTCCTCTCTAGAAGGGGGTATGGTGGGGTGAGAATCCAAAGCTACAACCAAAGTCAACCAGGAAGTGCTGGTGACAGACTGGCAGTCCTAGATGCAGGACAAGTCAATAATGCTAACAAGTCTTCAATCCAGTGTGGGATTTCATGCACCAGTGACTCCTCTTGTTTGAGAGGCCAGCATTGATGAAGAGAAGAAATTCATTTTATTTTATATTCCCCATATCTCAGAGATCTATAGCCAGGCAACACCTTGAGAATGGGCCTATAGAGTGGCTGAGTTAAGGAGACCAGAAACTCTCCCACAGTGTTTAGGTGGGACATGGCCAGGAGAGGCTGTCATGGGGAGAGGAAGGGTCA